TATAATTCTGGGCAGAAACTTTTTAATAAGCAGAGATACCACTTATTGACTGTTTGTGCTGGTTCACAGGCAACTGGCGTTTTGTTCACAAAAACTTTTCCTACACCAATGTCTTCAAGAGTTCTACCTAACATCTCTTCCAGCCAGTTTAGTGTTTCTGTTTTAATATTTATCTTTAACCCATTTTGATTTTAATTCATGATGAGAGATATAGGTCTAGTTTTAATCTTTGACAAGTTGAAACTCAATTTTCCCCCCACCATTTATTAAAGAGGCTATCTTTCCTCCAGTGAGGGTATTTGGCTCCTTTGTCAAAGATGAAGTGAATGTCTGGAATTGTTTCTGCATCTTCTAATCTATTCCGCTGATCCTCAGGTCTGGTTCTTTGCCAGTATCATGCTGTTTTTATCACAGTAGCTTTGTAGTATAGTTTCAAGTTGGGGATTCTGACACTCCCTGCCATGTCTCTTCTGCCTAGAATTCCTTTTGGTATTCTAGATCTTTTCTTGTTCCAAATGAATTTATGGATTGTTTTTTCAAGGTCCGTGAAGTATGCTGCTTGGATTTCAATTGGAATTTTGCTTTGAATCTATATAGAAGTTTTGGAAGTATGGCTATTTTCACTCTGTTGATCCTTCCTACAGAGGACCAAGGGATTTTTTCCTTTTTTCTAATAGCATCTTCAAGTCTCTCTTTTCAGAGTGCTATAGTTTTGAGAGTAGAGATTTTTGATTTCTTTTGTGAGGTTGATTCCTAGGTATTTCAGTTTTTTGGAGGCTATTTTGAAAGGAATTGTTTGCCCTATTTCTGTCTCAGTGAGTCTGTTGCTCATGTAGAGGAAAGCTATTGATTTTTGTGTGTTGACCTTGAATACAGCTGCTTTACTGAAGTTGGTTATTAAGTCTAGAAGACTTTTGGTGAAGTTCTTGGGGTCTTCTATATGGAGTATCATGTCATCTGTAAATAATGACAATTTGACTTCATTTTCTATCTTTATTACTTTTATTTTTTCTCTTGTCTAATTGCTGTGGCTAATGTTTCCAAAACTGTATTGAGCAAGAGTGGTGATAGTGGACATCCTTGTCTTGTTCCTGATTTTAGTGTGAAGGATTTCAGTTTTTGACCATTTAGTATGA